AACTAACTAACTAACTAGTGGCTAGCTAGCTAGCTAGCTAGCTAGCTAGTGGCTAGCTAGCTAGCTAGCTAGCTACCTAACTAACTAACTAACTAGTGGCTAGCTAGCTAGCTAGCTAGCTAGCTAGTGGCTAGCTAGCTAGCTAGCTGGAGGAGGCGGACCTGCGTGGGGGGATTCAAAATGTCCTTTTTGGAGAGTTTGCCGAGAAGGCCAATTTGGAGAGGAATCAAAAAAGGAAGTTTGGGAGTTTGCTGCTGCTGCGGAATGGTTTGGCTGAGAGTGAAGGAAAAGACCTTTGCTGCTGCGTCGTAGGCTGCCTTCTCCACACGCACTTCCGGGGTTCCCGCCTGCAGCTGCAGCAGCAGCAGCAGCAGCAGCAGCAGCAGCAGCAGCAGCAGTAGCAGCGGTAGCAGTTGCAGCTTCAGACCTTCCAGAAAGGGACCTTCTTCCAGCATCACCCGGCAGCTGCAGCAGCAGCAGCAGCAGCAGCAGCAGCGGTAGCAGCAGCAGTAGCAGCGGTAGCAGTAGCAGTGGTAGCAGTAGCAGCAGCAGCAGAAGCAGCAGTAGCAGTAGAAGCAGCAGCAGTAGCAGCGGTGGCAGCAGCAGCAGCACCAGCAGCAGCAGTAGCAGCAGCAGCAGTAGAAGCCGCAAGAAAAGAAAAGAAAAGAAAAGAAAAGAAAAGAAAAGAAAAGAAAAGAAAAGAAAAGAAAAGAAAAGAAAAGAAAAGAAAAGAAAAAAGAAAAGGAAAGAACAGAAAAGAAAAAGGGGCAAAAAAAGTGACAAAAAGTGGCAAAAAAGAAAAGAAAAAAAGCAAAAAAGAAAAAAAGAAAAAAAAATCCAAAAGACACAAAAAGAATAAAAAGATCCAAATAGAACAGAAATGGAAAAAGTGTTTTTAAAAAGTTTAAAAAGAAGAAAAATAACCGAGAGGGGAAAAAGAAAAAAAAAGAGAAAAACGATTCAAAAAGAATAAAAGATTTTAAAAAGAAAATAAAAAACAAAAAGAGACAAAAGAGTTTAAAAGTGAAATAAAAAGAAAAAAAGAATTAAAGAGAAAAGCAAAAAAGAAACCAAAAAAAAGATTTCAAAATGAAAAAAGACAAAAAACTTAAAAAAGAAAAAGAAGGAAAACGCGAAAAAGAATTAAAAGTTAAACCAAAAAGCAAAAAGAAATAAAAGAACAAAAAAGCAATTAAAACAAAAAGCAAAAAGAAAAGACAAAAGAGTCTTAAACAATAAAATAGAAATAAAAAAAGACAAAAGAGTTTTAAAAAATAAAACAAAAACAAAACAAAAACAAAAATAAAAACAAAAATAAATAAAAACAAAAATAAAAACAAAAATAAAAATAAAAATAAAAACAAAAATAAATAAAAACAAAAACAAAAATAAATAAAAAGAATTGTCGGACGCTCTGAAGACTTCCGCTGCTTTCCAGTGGAGGACTGGGTCATAGAGTTCGAAGACGTCGTCGTAGTAAACCCTAAAAAGGGGTTTAGGGTTTCGCTCTTCAGCGCGAAAAACCCTTTGCTGCAGATACCCCACACCCCGCAGCAGCCGCTCTCCTGCTGCCAGCAACTCTGCTGTAAACAGAGACTCCCGCAGCTTCGTGAGGCCCCCCGTCAGCAGCAGCTGAAACCTATCCCTGCAGCAGCAGCAGCAGCAGCAGCAGCAGCAGCAGCTGGGGGCGGTCGCTGCAGCAGCAGCAGCAGCAGCAGCAGCTGGGGGCGGTCGCTGCAGCAGCAGCAGCAGCAGCAGCGGCAGCAGCAGCTGTGGGCGGTCGCTGCAGCAGCAGCAGCAGCAGCAACTGGGGGCGGTCGCTGCAGCAGCAGCAGCGGCTGCAGCAGCGGCAGCAGCAGCAGCAGCAGCAGCTGGGGGCGGTTGCTGCAGCAGCAGCAGCTGCTGCTGCTGCTGGGGGCGGTCGCTGCAGCAGCAGCAGCGGCTGCAGCAGCTGCAGAAGCGATGCCGCAGCAAGCAGCACGGCCACAGCCGCTCTTCCAGCAGCAACAACGACTGCTGCATCTCCCATAGGCACCGCAGCAGCAGCAGCAGCTGCAGCAGCAGCAGCAGCAGCAGCAGCGGCAGCAGCAGCAGCAGCACCGATGCCGCAAGCAGCAGCGGCAGCAAAGGCGACTGCAGCAGCAGCGATATTCACAGCAGCACCCTTGGCAGCACCTCCAGCAGCAGCAATGTTCACAGCAGCAGCAGCAGCAGCAACAGCAGCAGCAGCAGCAGCAACAGCAGCAGCAGCAACAGCAGCAACAGCAGCAGCAGCAGCAGCAGCAGACCTGACAGCAATTCTGGCCCCCGTCCAGTTTCTGAAGTATTCGTGGCTGACGGCCGAAAGGGTCCTGTGGAGTTCAGCATCTGCATTCAAAAAAGAAATTAAATTAAATTAAATTAAATTAAATTAATTAAAATAAAATTAAATTAATTAAAATAAATAAAATAAAATAAAATAAAATAAAATAAAATGAAATAAAATAAAATAAAATAAAAT